ACCGTGTGATGAAAAAATTCATGATGTACTTGCTGATGTGGGTATATTTGTAAATGCAAAGCAATTGTACGACGCAGTAATACGACTGGCAGACCCCTATGGTAAAGCACGAGAGGTTATCTATGCGTTTAGTGTCCATGAAGCTATATTTAAGTTTGGAGATGAAAAACTTAAAGGGAAAACTTTAAAATTAATTATAAGACATTTATTAGTGTGTCGTTGTTGTAATGTGTATGTAGATAAGTTAGTGGAAATGATTTGTACGACCCTAGTTAAGAATGATACTTTAAGTGGAATTATGAATTCCACTGGCGGTGATAAGCTTCTAGGGGGTTCTATACCCTGTTTTAACTATATTATGGACGGCGATTTTGAAGTTATGCATAGGGATGCTTATAGAGCACCCCTGAAATGTATGTCTGTATGTGATAGTATTTGTAAAGAAATTATTGAACCATTTTTTGAGAAATATAGTAAATGACTATATATGGTATTGGTATGTAGTAGACCATGTAAATAAAAGTAAAAGGAAAAATAAATTTTTTTAGAAAAGAATGTCTCGTACGTATTATTTCGAGTCCGTGGCACCGTTGTCTAAGGTTGTGAATTGGGTAGATGTCAATAATGTATTGCTGGAAATGGGAATGACTTATTTGAAATATTTACAGTACAACATAGAATTGTTGACCAAGATTGTTGGTATAGTCCAGTTTTCGGATCGTATACCGCGGGGGAGAATAAATTTTCAGCTTTCGTCGGTGGGTTTTAACATAAATTGGTTGAAAGAGGTCAGATTTATCATGGTTCTACCCCATGTACAAATATGGTTACTTTGCAACCATCATGAACTTTCCGAATCAAGCATAAAAGAACAGGGAAACTTTGCGTTGGGCGGTCGAAACCGTAATTTAGAAGATGATCTGACACCGTATAAAAATTTAGTAAATGATTTTATGAAAACAAAAGATTATGCGCCGTGTGAATTTTATAAAGGTGGTCGTAAAATATGTGAATATGCTGATGCATTGAGTAGACTTCCACATGATAAAATATAAAGGACGGTGTGATTTTTTTTATTCGGGCTTTGGTCGTCATGCTGAACGAATCAAGTTTTCTCTTATGGCGTAGAACTAAATTTAAAAATGTAAAAGTGTTTTAATTACACTTCAACAATCAGCAATAAAATTAAAAAAAATGTTCGCATTATTATTTTTTGTATATAAAAGACCGAAATTTAAGCATGACCATATATGGATAATAACGTGCAGATATCGAAAATGACGGGCGTGGCGGATTTCCCTTTTAAAACCCTGTGTAAATATATATATATGGCGGTCTGCAAGATTTTTTCATATAAACGCCTCGGTTTAAGAAACGTCGTTTGAAAAATATCGTGCGCAGACAATATTAAAAGATACACCAAAGATACAAAGGTAACTTTTTATTAGAAATATTTTTTACATTATTGATAATATTGATATTGTACAGGTATTTTATTATGTGTCTTTCTGTTTGTTTGTTGAATTTGCCCACCACGCTGTGTTCCAAACAAAACACGATCGGTATCTTGTACTCGTTTGACCACTTTTCTTTTTACGGCTTTCTTCTTTTCATTTAAAAAGCGTTTTCCAAATTGCTGTAGAAAAGCTCTTGGGTTTGATAACGTTTGACGCATTTGCAGTTGTTTTTTGCGTACGGCAGCTGTTCTTTTTTTAAGATGCGGCGTAGCATTAAGGTCAGGTAGCTTTGTTCGTGCCATGTTGAAACTGATAGCGTCACCTAAGTATCATTAAGTATTTATCGCCAGTATTCCCGACCATACGATGTGAAAATTTCCTGATGTGGCGGAATTGTTTTACTTGCTTTTAAGCGAAATATTTGCCGACCTCTTATTTGCGCGTTATTTCGAAACGGTGTTTTACGAGCGTCGTTAGCAAACTGTGGCGCCCCGTCAGTAGTATAGTTTGAATTGATACATTGTCCTCGACGATTGCAGACTGCGTATTTTGCAGTTACGTCGCCGTAAAGTTGATCTAATTCTTTTTTCGTTGTTATGCGTCCCGTAAATTTACCAATATTATTGCCGCGCGGAATTTGTTTCTTCCACGAGTATAGTCCTTTTCCGCCGCCAATAATATTGGACGGTTTAATACGTAAATTATTTTGTTTGGCCAAATGAATCCAACATTTTTCAGTGTGTGCGGTACGTTTTTTGCATTGTTGCTTTTTTAAAGTGTCTGCAACGCAACGCTGTGCTTTTCGAATACTTTGAGTGCCTCTATGTTTGCGAGGTGCCTCGTAGATTTTATTTAGAAAGTTTAAAATAAATCTTTGTCGTTTTTGTGTTGTTTTTTGACGGGGCATCTTTTTAAAAAATAACTATCACCCCTACGTATTTATCAATGTTTTTCTCAATATGCTCTGCTATTCTTATCATTTTAGACTCGACGTACGGTGTTATACATTGTTCGTTGTGAAGTGCTTCCACGCGTGTACGTATATCCCAAGGTTGTACCTGGACTATATGTCCACCGTCTCGAGCCCATTCTTGAAATGCTTCGGGAAAAATACGGTCCGAAACAATGACTTGATCATCTGAATCCTCTGAAATTTCATATGAGGGTATGTATTTATCGGTGTCATTTATACTAAATTCATTTTTCACGTATATAGTAATGTGCGTTAAAGCGTTATCCCCCATTGTTGCTGTTGTATAGCTGAAGGTTGAAATGGGTTCTGCTATCAGAAAGTTTTTTACGGGTAGTGATGGTCCACTTATTAAAGTGCGATGTGTTTTTATAAATAGGAGTAATGACGTGGTCGTCGGTGAGGAAGGTGTAGACGGCGCCGAAAATCCTGACACAAGTAGTCTTGACGAATATCCCGAATACACAACGTGTTGTTGCTTCCAATGGCGAAAAGAAAAAATCCCGAAAAATCACACAGTGATGGCGAACGAAAGCGTTACAAGTTAGGCGATAAGGATTTGCAGGATATAGTGGACATGGTAAGAGTAAATAAAACAAGGGTTGAAATTACACCAAAAAACATTGCGGATATTGCAAAAATGGTTCACGAGAATAGATTACAAAAACAAACTACAAAAACATCGCGCGGGAAAAGAAATTATAATATAGAAGATAGAGACCTTCGGGAGATTGCAAATATTGTGGAAAAAAATAAAGAACATACACAAATACCGCGAAACGCTTTTCATGTTGATTTATTACGGACACATCGTCGCTTGGGTTATAATGAATATATTTATAGTGTTAGAATAGGTGCTGGAAATATAACAACACTTCCTGAATTTTATGATTCTCTTACTGAGATATTTAGTTATTTAATAAATACAATGAATTATATAGCTAGTTCACCAACTGATAAAGCACGTTTTTATATCTCTAAGGCACCTCGCACACCTTTTTCTACGGCTATTTTAAATGTTTCCGATTTTAATACTGATATGTTTTTTGATATTTTTGAAAAACATATGCAAAGTAATGCACAAGAGGTGATTGATGGTGGGTGGAGTACAACTGTTTCTCTGTATATATTTCCAAATAGTTATATACCGCGAACGACAAAAGAAAAAACCGTAAGAAAGAAACAAATGTATAGATCGGTAGGTAAAAACGGTACAGATGTGGGTCGTGGCAGAAAAAAATTAGTACAAAAACATGGACGTGAAATTCGAAGCGGTGTTTTTCAAGTGGTTTCAAAATCAGATTGTTGTTTTGCCCTGGCACTATTGACGGGACGCTCTTTTGTCGATAAAGACGAACGATACGATAAACTAAGCCTTAATCGTAATACACCACTCGAACAACTTTATACAGACGACGAAATTACTGACGTTTACGAACAATGTGGATTAGCTGTGGGAGGTGTTAGTATTAATCAATTGCCGGATGTTTACGAGCGATATTTGGCCGTGCAAAATATTGATTTAGTTGTATTTTCCAAAAATAATGATGATATCGTATACGATTCGCGTATGCGTGGCACAGATGAAATTTGTTCTACCAATTTAAAAATTATATTTTTATGGCTTAATGACAGACATTATGATTTGGTGCTTTCGCCTAATACATTTTTACAAATGACCGCGGGAAAATTTTGTTTTAAATGCATGAATTACTTAAAACATTGGGAGCGTGTAACTACGCACGTATGCCGTATATCTTTTTCATGTTTGAATTGTTATAGTGGCGGTGAAAAATGTCCGGAAGAAGAGGGATTTTTTATTCAGTGTCCACAATGTTTTGTGAATTTTAAAAATCATGATTGTTATATGGCGCATCTTACAAAAAGGGTTTTTAAAAAGGGTTCGGAAAAGGTGTATAGTGTAACGCCATGTCAACATATGTTCTTTTGTAAAACCTGTTATAAAAAGGTTCCGCGTATGACGGTAATGGGTAAAAAAACAGCAGCCCATAATTGTGATATGGTCTATTGCAAACATTGTAATGCTGTTAAAAAAAAACGCACAAATGTTTTATGAAAGTTATTAAGCCGGCTAAAAATCCTAATTTACCAACACTTTATTTTTTTGATTTTGAAACACGTCGAGATGATGAGGGGTATATGATTCCTTTTTATGCCGTTATTCAAAAAGTGTGTCAATTTTGTGATGAAAAACCGTTTGTGAAAAATTGTGAACATTTTTTACCACATTCTGAAGACGTAACATGCGATATATCCGTAGAATGTGTACCTTGTTGTGGCTATAGACAATATATTTTAGAAAAACAAAATGATTGCATCACAAAGCAATTTATTGATTTTATGTATGCACAACCCAAAAATAGTGTGTGGATTGCACATAATGGCGGGCGTTTTGATACGGTATTTCTACTTCGCGAATTGTTAGTGGAAAGAAACATTGTTCCGCAATGTATTATGAACGGTAATAAAATCATGTGCATGGAATTAGAAGATCGAAATCTAAAAGTATTGGATAGTTTTTTATTTTTAAATATGGGGCTAAAAAAATTTCCCGAAGCATTGGGTATTCCGGATATTTGTAAAGGTTTTCATCCTTATCTTTTTTATGACTTGAATTATGTGGGCCCCATGGTCGGATTGGAATATTTTGACCCACCGTCCGAGGGTACTGAAGAACGCGATGATTTTGACGCTTGGTACGAACAGCAAAAGAAAAAACCGTATGTTTTTAAAGAGGCCATGTATTATTATTGCCGCTTGGATGTTGATATACTTAGACAGGGGTGTATTATATTTGCGCGACTAATTAAAAATATAACAAATGTATTTCCATTTTATGATAAAACCTGCCATACAATTGCAGGACTTGCATTGAAAGTATATCGTACAAATTTTTTAAATGAAGAAACTATTGGGCAAATACCTGCACAGGGGTATGGGGGAAATATTAATCAAAGTGTTATTGCCCTATATTGGTTAAGAGGTGTTGAAAGTGATTTAGACGGTATGACATTTTACAGTAAATTACACCCCAGCGGAGAACAAAGTATTGCCGGTCATTATGTTGATCGATATTGTCCCGAAACGAAAACAATATATCAGTTTCATGGCTGTTTTTTTCACGGGTGTGAAGAATGCTATAATGGTGAAATGTTCAATGACGTTGTTAACGAAACATTCTATATACTACGCGAATGAACACGGCGTATTACAGAGAAATTTGAAAGTCAGGGATATAAAGTTATTGAAATGTGGGAGTGTAATTTTTTAGCCGTAAATAATTTCACTAAAAAAATCGTTGCAATGTTAAGAGAGAGAGATTTTTTTATTAACATTAATCTTAATCCACGAGACGCATTATTTGGGGGTCAAGTTTCACCAGCAGTTATGTATGCTAATGCATGTAAAAGAAAAATACGGTATTATGATTTTACATCTTTGTACCCCTATGTTCAAAAAATTAATGTATTTCCTGTAAAACATCCTGAAATTACGCGTGGTGTAGAAAAATGTAGCAAACTTAATTTGGGGTTTATATTTGGACTGATTAAATGTAAGATACTACCGCCTAGAAATCTTTTATTCCCCGTTATTCCCTATCGGACTACGAAATTAACATTTCCACTATGTCGTACTTTGCTGATAATTTATGTGGTGTTTGTACACACGATGAAGAAGAACGTGTATTATACGGTACATGGACAAGTATTGAAATACAAGAGGCACTAAAACATGGGTATAGGGTAAAGGAAGTTTACGAAGTATATAATTATAGACAGCGTGAGAAAATCTTTGACACGTATGTCAACACTTTTATGAAATTAAAACAGGAAAGCAGCGGTTTGCCAAAAAATTGCTATGAAGACCAGGGTAATGTAGATAAAAAAAAAGTTAATGAATATGTACAGGAATATTTTAATCATGAGGGTGTGCAATTGGATGCTAGTAAAATTTCTTATAATCCCGGACAAAGAACAGTGATGAAAGCGTTGTTAAATTCATTATGGGGTAAATTAGCACAAAATGAAAATGTACCCGTTGTATCGTTTATTGATCGTTTTCACGACTTACTAGAAATGGTTAATGATTCAAGTATTGAAGTAACATCGCTAGATTTTATAAGCGACGATGTAGCGCGTACAACGCATCGAAAACTTTCGTCCTTGGTAACTTTACCCAACAGAAATGTTGTTATCGCGGCATTTGTAACAGCGTATGCCCGTTTAGAATTATTTAAAGTTTTACATAAATTAGGGTCGGACGTTTTGTATTACGATACTGATTCTGTGATATATGTGGAAAATATTGAAAAAGGACACGTTTTAGAAACCGGTTGTTATTTGGGGCAATTAACGGATGAATTATATGATAAAAAAGCGAAAAGCGAAAAATGGATAGAAATGTTTTGTGCTACAGGTCCAAAATCATATTCGTATCGAACCAATGAATATATTAATGAAGATGATGAAAAAAAACGTGATGAAATTGTCCATGTTAAGGGTTTCTCATTAAAAGGTGATACTAAAAAGAAAATTACTTTCGATAGCATTGAACAATGCGTGCAAGACCGAAAAAAGAAAATCACAACGTTTTATACGGAATTTACGCGGTCAAATAATCAAACCATAAATGTTCAGCAAGTTGAGAAAAAATTTAAATTTACATTTGATAAACGTATTATTCGTAATGATTTTACAACCGTTCCTTACGGGTATACTGAGACATAAATTATTTTTTTCATAGGGTCGTAATTTGACGGATTGTACGATTCCATTTCAACATCCTTTTATGACAACATTGTGTGGGCCCTCTCAAAGTGGAAAATCCTATTTGATTGCGAACATAATAAAATACCACGAAGCTCTAATTCAACCACCAATTGACAAACTACTATACCTTTACTCGGTGTACGACTATGACAACATCAAACAAAACATTCGTGACAACCAACATACCTCGACACTAAAATCGTTTGAGTTTATTGATTGTAATGCGGGCATACCGTCAATGGATGCCATTAAAGAAAAATTGGGCAAGAGTACCTTAATAATTCTAGATGATTTGATGATTATCGCCGGTACCAACAGTACAAATCTTACTAATTTAAATAATATTGCGTCACGCGACAGCCACCATTCAAACGCCTCTGTGATTTTTGTATGTCAAAGTTTAAATTACGGTGCAGGAAAATTACGAAATTGCCGTGTGAACAGTCAATATCATATCATGTGTAAAAGTCTGAGTTGCTATAGAGATGTAGAAATGGTTGCGGCAAATAAAAAAATATGTAAAAATAAAATACATAAAGTAATTGAAGATGTAGGTAAAAAAGAATATGGATATATTGTATTTGACGGCTGTCCGAAGGGGTGTGCAAATACACGCGTAAGAACGGGAATTTTTCCCAAAGATGAAACTATTGTATATGATTTATGAAAAAAAATAAAATTTTTTTTAACTTTGTATTTGATACATTTCACTATATGATTTACATATTTGTCCTTTACTACTAAGACATTTATTCGTATATAATTTTTTTATGGTAGGAAATAATGAATAACATGTCTGCTGCAACGTTTGTTCATTTTGCATTAGACTATCAATTTTATGCGTAAATAGATCACTACGTATAATATGTGTACCAGTATAATAAGATTTTAAAAATAACAAACACCAACAACCGCATGTTCTACTAACATGGGATTGAATTTGCGATGTATTATACAATTGCATTTTACATTTTAATTTTCCAAAGTATTTTTCCCAGTAATGTCGTTTAAAGAAAAACGGTGTTTTACCGTAACTATCAAAAAAATAAATTAGTTCTTTTTCTTTTCTAACTGCAACCCAATGTGTGCCAGGTTTGTCCTTTGGATCTACATTCCATATCCAACAACATCTTGCTCTAGCGGTACCCCTTGGTGTTACATCAGCAGGATAGCACCCCAAATAATGTGGCGAAATATCCGGATCATCTTGCGCTTGGTGGTTTAAATTGTCCGTATCTAGAAATTTGCTAATAAAGCATGTTAATGTTGCCATATTTTTTACATGTACGGTCGTGGTTTTCCTTTTTTACTCATCGGTGTTAGCGGGTAGTCGGGAAACACAGGTTGTGCTGTAACAATACCCGGTGGCGGTGTTTCATAGGCTGGTGGCGATGACGCATGTGACGTTGACGGACCACTAAGTTCACTTAAGTTTCGATACTGACCCTTAAGATTTTCACTACGTATATAATAAACAGGCATATTTAATTTTTTTAATTCTTTCAATAATTTTTGATGTTGGATTGCATTTAAATTTTTTTTTTTTTGTTACATTTTTTGTAAGATCAGCAACCATATCATCGAAACTAAAATTAAGCGTTCTGGTTTTAAATTTTGTCCCCTTGTCCGTTTCTACAACCCCTTTTTGTTTAAGAAATGAACGTATCAGTTTTTCTGAACTTGCTAATGATCCCGGTTTTGGTGCAGGACCGCCTGCTGCTGCGGGTTGACCTTCTGCGGCTTTTTCCATTAGTTCTTTTCGATAATTTTGTCTTTTTTTTGAATAATTAATAATGTCATCGGTAGCATGAGGTTGTTTTTTTGCAACGCTGGCCATCATATTTGCATGTCCTTCAATTAATTCCCCTTCGGCCGTTGTTTGTTTTGCCTCGTTTAGAATTTGCTTGTTTGCGACTAATCGATCTAGGTTTTTGATCATCGTGTTGTATTTTTCGGTATCTATCAACATCAAACGTTTTACATCGTCTCCCATTGTCGTCGTCTTCGCTGTTAATACCCCGAGATTTTTCTATTTGTTTAATAGCAAGCTTGCAATAATATTGTACCGTAAATTCCTCGAGCAAGCGTAAACGCACGTCTGAACGGTGTGTAGCTTTATCGGAAATGTACGTAAATAAAGCTCTCTCACACTCTGATATATTTAATGGTATTTTACCGTTTGCTATGTTTCGACATAAAAATACCATATGCGAGATTAATTGCTTGTTATTATTAAGCATTTTTTCTTTTTGGGCAAAACCTGCAGCTAAGAATTTTTTAGTGGCCGGTAAAAATTTAGATTGTTTTTGTTTTTGAATAGTCATACAATGTGCATCCCATATTTGTTTTAAAAATAAAGCAGATGCTTCATTATTTATTTCCTCTTCATCATCCGCAGAATAATTTCTTTCTTCTTCGGAATAATCTTCTTCTTCCTCGTTGTCACATTTATCGTTATTTTCTATTGCAGGTGTATTTTCAGCATTATTCTCATCATTTTCATCATCATCATCATCATCATCATCATCATGTTCATCATTCTCTGTTTCTATTTTTTCATTTAATTCCTCTTCATCGCTTATATAATTTGTTATTTCATCCATATTTTGATATTACAGGTTTTACGTGAATTGTTCGTATTGCAACACCACCCCAGCCAATGACATAATTTCGTCTTGCACCGGGTATATGTAAAATGTTTCGAAGTGTTTTTTTTTTTGACTGTCTTGGGTCTTCTTCGTTGAACAGACATTGTTCATATGATACATAAATCATTTAATATGCGAATTTTAAACGCGCTTCCGTTTGATACGCACAGGACAATTGATTTCTGAATTCACCAACGACTATTAATTGACTTGCTGCGGCAAGTGGTTGATTAAGGCGTATTTCAAGACTTACAACACCGCTGGTAGCATTGGGTAATATTTGATTATAACTATCTTTGTTTTCAGATAGATCAAGAGCAATAAGGCCGTAATCGGTTAAATAATCCGGGTAATTAAAGGGCATTTCATCGTATTTACGATTTAAAATTCTTCGTAAATTTATGTACGCCTCTTTTGAATTTTCAATTGTAGGCTCAACAAAAGCTTCGTTAATTTTGACCCCTAAAAATTCTAAATTTGGAAAAATCATTCGATTTGGATTGCTAGTATGTGCACCGTTATAGCGTGCTTGTGTACGAATATAGATAAACATACGCGTTGGTCGGGCACCTGTAAAAAGATCATTTTTATTAATTTTACGGGTGCCAACAGCAACAGCCATGGGAACATAACGAAAATGACGTACATAATATTTTGCTTCTTCGCCTTTTTGAACCATGGCATTATTAATGGCGGCCATTAATTGTGCTTTTGGCTTAAATGCTTGAATATGAATTTCCAAATCTGAATAACGAATTTTTGCTAACGCACATTCGGCAGCGGCGCCCATTAGGGTTTTTACTTTTTCTAAACGCGTTAATCTTATGGTCATATTAAATGATGACACAACATAGCGTTTGTTATCACCCATTAAATTAATGAAATCATAACATTTGAAGGGTACATCTCTTTTACACAAAAGATAGCGTTTGCCAAGACCCTTATTAACGTGCGTGGCGTGAGTCGCATCTAACATTTGTGTTATACTATCACTTACATTAGCCGCACCAGGTGTATTGTGAATACATCCTGTTATATCTTGGTCGGGCATATACGCAAGCGGTGTTTCGCGTGTTAAATGATTTATAAATTCAATTTCATTTTCTTGTGATGACAGTGAATTAATGCGTTGATTATTTACCAATATTTCTCGTGATTTCCACCCCAATCTAAGTGGCGATTGATTAAGTGCTACATTTTGGTCTCCCGCTAAGTAGGTATTATCAGCAGCCGTAATTGTGATATTTGCAGTGATTCTTGCACTTTGAAGATCCATAACACCATAATCGTTAGGTGCATGATTAAATGTGAAATCATCAGCATCTGGATTAGCAATGGGTCCAGCAATTAATTTAAATTTCCGACTTTCCACAAATGTATCATTGTGTGGAAATGTGGGGAACATCACCATGGGCCCCATAAACCCACTATCGTGAACCTCAATGGGTTCATCATCGGCGGCTTGTGCATGCGTCCGCTTCATACTTGTGCACGATATGAAAGATAAACCACAAATGATACAGTTTTATAATTTTTATTACACTTATATAATTTTTATTACATTTTAATATGTTCTGTAATCACCAAATCGTAGTTTACGTTTATTAACACGTCCTCCTTTTTGTTTTGGCGGCTGTCGTTGTGGCGGTCTTGGTTGTTGATAATATTGTGGGGGTGGATAATATTGTGGGGGTGGATATTGTGGTCGATAATATTGTGGACGATATTGTTGTTGTTGTCTGTTGTAATTATTATTGGTCACCTGTTGTTTTTTTTTTACCAAAAATACCCGGTAGTATTTTTGTTGCAGCACCCAAAAGAGTAGGTATTGCTAAACCTGCAGCCATAGCCATTCCTGGACCGCCCCCGCGTTGTTTTCTTTTGTAAGGACTTAGACTTTTTTTTGATTTTGTCTTTTTCGATAAACCATAATCCAGTGCCCAACCCACGAGACCACCATCTTGTTTTTTACTACTACGCTGATGTTTTCCCCCTTTAAAATTTCCACCGCCTTGTTTTCTACTACGCTTTTTTGATTTCATCTTTACACACCTACCACCCTCATTCAAATAATTTATTATGTCTAAAAGTATAACTATTTATTATCCAAAAATATGTTTCAAAACGTTTGGATCGACTCCTCTGACACCTTGTTTTCTTGACCGTTCGGGAAGTTTTCCACAACGTCTTACTTTAGGATCGGGCTTATAATTTGGGTTTAATTGTGGTGATGGACAAATCTTGTCTTGGGAACATTCTTCGATAGTTTTAGGTATTTTAGGAATATACCATAAATTTGGACACCCCGGATGTTTTTGTCCGCGACCGTGTAATAATTCGTAATATTGTTTTTCATCCATTATTATCTTCAAAAAGATTTAATACTAATGTTATTTGCTTTCCGTTCAAGCTACCTGTATGGATATTTTTGTTATCACCCCAAAGTACATAAAAAATAACGTTTTCTTTCAACTGTGCTAGATCACGAACAAGTAAATACTGAGGAAGTTTTTTTTTCGTATGGTTTATATTCACGGTATTCACGGTTGCATTTCCAAACATATGCGTCAATAAATGATCATCAAATACCATGGCTTGTAATGCATTTCCACTCATAGATATAGAATTATTTTTGTAATTGGTCAATGTTCCTTCTGACCAACGTCCGGATATTTTTTTTGTTTCCCCGTTTGCCATACCACTAAAATGTAATGCATGAGCACACCAAAAACTTGCCATATCAAAAGATCCAACATTCGATCTTTTTGAAGCAAGATTGTAATATACGTCCTCGGTTGTAGTTTCGGCAAAACCTGTTAATTCATATTGTATAGGAACCCAATGTTTACGAACAATCTGACAGGTTACTGTTAATGTCCCCATTATTCAATTATACATTCGATCCCTACACTACCACCGTTAAATTGAATTAAATTATTTTCAATATCGCAAATTCTTATATGTAAATGTTTAATTAGGGTATTAATTAGTTCTCGCTTAATTGACGATAAATTATGTGTGTGCAATCCGCCAGAGACCATTTCATTATGGGGAACAATTTGTAAATGTGCTAATAATGGTCCACGAACATCGCCCACAATGGACGGTACAACTTCGTCACAATAGATAAACATACGCGTTTTCCCATTGGTCATATCTGGGGCGTATTTACCGTAAAAAAAATACCACAATTGACTAGTTGATTTATTCAAATAATTAGCGTGTAAAATAGTGGTTAACATAGCTTGCAACTCTGTTGGCGGTGTAGAGTCCGTCCAAGTAAATGGGCCACTTTTTAATCCGCCTTTTAAAAATATACGTTCTACTACGGGATGCAACACATAACCATCAAGACCGAGCATATATTTTAAATCTTTGGTCATTTCAAAAGAAAAATCATCGACCATTTTTACAATATATTCATCGTGTGTAAGATTATGACTGTCCCCATAACGGAATACGTAGTGTGGTGTAATATTTACCGATACACTAACACGACCACCGGGAAGTAATGAAAATTTCACACCATAATTCACAATCCGATTTAAGTCTTTAATATTTTTTTTTAATGTATAGTGTCCACGGGGTAAAAACGCCCAATCTCTTTCAAATACAATGTAATCTACTTGCGTTTGTGTCGCTGGTGTTGCGGAATTCCAGCAAAGTTTATATGAAAAACGAATACCGCACGATTTATCTTCCACATTATCAATCATCACGGGATATGTCACATTTAAAGCACGTATAAATCGTTTTTTATTTTCACCATCAATTTGTTCGGGTAATGTCATCGTAAATTTATTATTATAATTGACATCTCCCAATTGATTTTGTGTATTACTAAAAACTTGTATATTCATATTGGTTGTAGTTCTTCACGATAAAATATGCCCGTAATTTCCTCGTTTTGTTTATCCTTTAATTTATATGTAACTGGATCGGTAATAAAAACTTTATCAATTATAAAAATTTCTTGACCCCACCGTCTTAAGCTGGATTTTTCAAAAATGTTATTTTAAGTCTCGCAATACGTACGGTTTGACCTGTACGTAACAAACTTGTGGTTGGATGTGAACCCGATAAGTAATTTTTTAGGATTTTAAACTTTAAAAATGCGGGCATTTTTTCATTCTTGTACAAGTCAACAGGCTTTAACCCGTAAACACCCCGATGTGGTGCCTCGTTATATCTTTCGACAATAAGCGGAAGATATTTAATAAATCGATAGCTTGAAAACATAGTCAGCGTACTTTGAATCATGTTCTTGATAGTTTCAATAAATCTTTCTGCATGTGCAGCTTTTATATCACGATTTTGTGTATGAAATAGTGTAAAATTATATTTAGGGGCAAGAATTTTTTTGATATTATTGAATTCTGTTCCCTCATCGGCTTGTATTTTTTCAGGCGAACCATTTTCAAGAATAATCTCTTCAAATTTAGCCGCAACATTTTTGGCCGTTTTTGTTTTTAGTAATTTCACAAAAGCAAAACGTGTCCCCACATCAATACACACAAGCAAATAACGATATTGATTATTATACCCTGACAATGAGTTTAAATCTGCTAAATCAATACTCCATTGTTCATTTTTTTTATATACATGAATTTTTAAACGTTTTATTCTATGCTTTTTTTTGGCATGCAATGTATACAAGTTCTTTTGTTCCTTTGTTAATGTCTCTCCTTTTAATAATCTTGCGGCTTTTTTAATAAGTTCTGCATCGTCCATTACTATAAGAAAAAAATTTTACATCTTTAATTTACTACGTATATTTACACAATGATAATAATAATTAATTAATTCTTCATTTTTTTTTACAAAATTTATGTAATTATCATAATCGTAAGTTAGTTTTATTTTTTCATGATGTTTTAAAACAGTTTCTACAGCAGTGTTTTTTCCAATCATATGAGAAATGATTGCGGCAATTATTTGTTTTTGCTAAAAGAGAGAGAGCTGATGATTAATAGTTGCACAAGTTTCTTCTAAATATTCGGCTACAACCAAAAAATTCTCGTAAGGATACGGACAAATTTTATACATCTCTGCACCAAATCGGGAAATCGTTTCTTCACAATCTTTTCTATATTTACACATATTTAACATTATCAGTCTTGTAGCCATTTTTTGTAATACTAAAAATTTTCTCACCTCCGACTTTTCAGAATCTTCTTCAACCACAACTTTTTTGGTCTTCTTCACACTTCCTTTAGTAGTAGTATCTCTCTTTCGTTTCTTGGGACCATCCAACTGTTTTTGTTCCGTCGGTGGTGGGGATGGGGGTACTACATCAAGACCGCTGGAGGGGTTCAAGATACCATAGGCCTCATAACAGAAATCACGAATAACATCGGAAAGTTTTTTCCAATCATCATTCTTGTTGATATAAAATTTATCGAAACACTCGACCCATAGATCTTCCACACGCGTCTTTGTGGCTGTGGTGGCTGGTGCAGGATCAGGACAATCGGTGGTGGTAGTGGAGGTGGTGGTACCAAAGTCGACAGGTTTTTGCGATTTTTTCAATTTGCAGACTTTTAAACCCGCATATTCACTACGCGTTACTATTGAACGATACTCGTTACCGTATGAATCTTTACTCGTACCCAATTCGGCATAATTTTTTGCCTGATCTGATTTCGTCATTGTGGGTAGAATGTCGGCAAGCGCTTCCATTTCTTCATACGATAATTCAATACCCGAGTCATAAATATATTTTGTACTATCCTGTGATAAATGTCCAACAGTTAAAGCACATTTTTTAGTCCATTGTTTCATTAGGACTATTTTGGTTTTACCATTTTCATAGGTCCCCAAAACTTTTTCAAGTAGGGTTTTTTCACGTTTATAAATCTTTATTGATTCCTGATCAGCCATGTTGTAACCTTGCAGTGTCGAGTACGAATGAAAAATTAAAAAATCAAGCAAATATAAATGCCAATAAACACGTGATTACACAACATCCGAATCCAATTATGTCGTCGCGTTTATTTCGTTTGTCCAATTCAGAAATAACACTGTGTGTAATTTTAGATACCTTGACCATATATGTCCTTTTACATTTGGGGGTTGAAAAATACAAACGTTTCTGTCTAAATAACGTACGCGCTATTGATAATATATACAATTTATGGCAAAAACTTTTATCCGCAAAATTATTTTCAAGAACCGAAAGCATTAAATCCATACAAGGTGTTTTCTCGGTTACGATCGTATTTATTTTAGCTGAATATTGTTCGTCTATAACATCCAGAATTGCTTCAAACTGTTGCCGAATTAATGGATTTTCAAAACAAACATTGTCCCCATACCAATAATAACATAAAAACACATCTGCTCTTTTTTTTAGACGTAATAATTCCTTTTCATATTGTATCAAAGAAAACAATTTTTCCATTTCAAGAAACTTTTCCATATCTTACACATACCCCTCTAACACGCCGCATAGGTGCGTTCTAAATCTACGACACTTATTTAAAAACTTATATACACTTTTATCTAGATAATATCCTTTCTTTAAAAATATTTCTACAATATCTTTTGTGCAATGTTGTTCTCTACAGTACGATACTATTTGTCCTAATAATGTTCGCATTTCAAAATCACTAGCGGTAAATTTAGTAACGCATATTATCATTGTTCTTTTTGGTCTTCCTCGGTATGCAAGTATTTTTATGAATTGTAATTTGTCATCTTGGGTTCGTAAAAAAAACGTCCACTTGTTATGTTGTCGCGTCACATTCAGATATTTACGGCAATTGTATATTGTATCGCCATGTAAAATATTCATAGATGTCGTATTTAAGATGCAGTGTTCAGAATTGACAATGACATGATTCCATCGCTCCATAATTTCACCTTATATGATTGACCATACACCAATCTCGATATTTCTTTAATGATATATTTTGAATATATTGTTCCAAATAAAGCAATCATTTTAATAGCTATAACAAGTTGATCATTTTCAGTTTGACATGTATGTAAGAAACACTGTAAACTTTCAAAATCTGTCACACAATCAGACCAAAACTCACAGGAAATTGTTTTGTACATAAAATCCACAGTAATATAACCACACTCCCGGCTAAATGTACCCTCAGTATGTAAATTTTTTATTTTAAAAGTTTTTGTATGACGCTGGCTTATTTCACTTGTACAAACCATTTCTTTTACAGCAGTACCACATGTATCATCGTAAAAACAAACCGTACCTATTTTAGCTCCTGATCTATAATTCGACGTCTCAATTTCTGTAAGACTTCCAACTTCGTTAAATCACAGTAAAATCCCTTGAAACATAATAATACTTGCAAATCTTCAGTCTTAGAATATGCTGAAGTATGTATTCTTCCCAATATATCCGCAAAATATCTATGATTCTCTGACCCTATGTTATAGGGTATTATTACAGGAACTATATTACAAAACGCCGTTAAATGAACTCTGTAATCATCCGAACAAACACAAATATTTACACCGATAGCACCAATTTCTGAAACATTTGTTATATGCCAAAATGGTGCTTTCACGTTATAAAGAACATCTCGTAAAAGTAAAACTGCCATTCTCAAATGGCAAAGCAATCAGGGGGGACCTTTGTTGGTCGCCGACATCAACGGGGACAGAAAAAACAAATGGGGGGGTTTTTACCATTTTCAGGTGCAGCCCTTATTACAAAAGCTTTTGGCGGTGGTGGTGGTAAACGCCGCCGTTGCGGTGGGCGAAATGTAGATAGAGAAATGATGAGTAGAATGAATAAACAACTTAAAAGACAAGAACTACAACTTGAAAGGGCTCAAGAAGAACTAAGAAGAAGTCGTCAAAATTGGGGCGGCGGTCCAAGACGAATAACCCGTTACGATGATTATGATGATGGTTGGTACAGACCAAAAAGAAAAAGAAGACCACAATGGGGTGGGATTGTGGCCGGTGAACACAAATTAGCGCGTCAAGCTGCAAAAGACGCAATAGTACAACAAGCTCTTTTAAGGAAAACAAGATAATTTTTATTCTTCTATTTCAAATTTTGGTGCTATAACAGCATCTGTACTACAATCACAAAATAAATTTTTACATACTAAAGTTAAGCGTTTCTGTTCATTATTATACTTTATAACCCCATAACCCCCACATTGTAAAGGTTTAACATTCATGGGTAAATATGCCCACGCATTATCCTCTAAATCAATTTGTTCTATTATTGTATGTATAAAAGTAAATGAATCTAGTTCATGAAAATATGTCCCGCAACCCTTTTCACCACGAGAACATTTGTATATCTCACCATCTCGTACACAGAATCTTTGGCAAATACAACGAATTCTTGAATTTTTCAACTGCGGCATAGAACGTTTAAAATCACACCCGCCACTTCGACATACAAAAAATAACTGTAATTCATTAAGAACAGGTACAAAATCCAAACTTGCTTTTAATATGGTTCCACATTGACATGTTAGTTTTTTATCCTTAAGTTTTAAGTAGGGTTGACAATCATCCATTACACCCACATATTTTTCGAAGTTAGTATCATTAGCTTCAATGATAAACTGGCAACGTAAAACAGGACAAACATAACACGGAACAGAGAAAATCCCACATGTCACAATACATTTGTCATCACAAATACAACGAATATATTCGCATTCAATAGTTGAAACACCATCCCAATTTTTACAATTTTCACATTTGCAAGGTAATAAACCGCTAAAAACACTTGTAAATTGCTGTTCCATTAGTAAATTTCGTATTCCCCGTTCTTCAAATCCCAAAGCATGCTACGCGACACAAAGCCCTCCAGTAACTGCTCGCTATTCTGTATATCATCGTCTATTTCCGTGGCACGAATTTCACGTGGGGATGGATGCCAAATTTTAAAATTATCAATATTCCTTCTTATAGAATAATGTTGACATATAAAATCATCATATAATTGTGTCTGAGAAATAGGTTTCCTAAAACGCAACATTGCAGTAACATACGTAGTATCTGCAAATTGCTTATCAGAATATTTTATCTTATAAGCAATAACTGTTGCAGAATTATCAAAAACATCGTTTTCCACAAGTTTTAACGTTTCATCAACCATTTGAACTGACGTTGTACAAAAACACCACCACAATCTTTGTGCATATTGTTTTGGCATATCTTTTTCCATTGCCCGATAATATGACATGGGTACAAAATCAATCTCAACCATCCCAAAAAAATAAAATTACGTTGTATATAATATACACCAATCAAGTGCCGTAACTAACTCTTCACTTGTAAAATTAACACAAATTTTTACATCCAAAGGAAGCGTAATGCGAAAAATAAACTTCATTTTTGTATAAATATGAATATGTTGACATATTTTATTCCTGTGTGTGTGTATACATACCATAACCATATATGGGGAAAAACAAAGTATACCCTAAATATTATAAATAAACGCAAACATTTTTACACTTTTACAAAAATGGGCGAATGCAGTAATGAATCAAAATGCAAATATTGTCCTACAAAATTTGGTTGCCCGTGTCCCAATGGATGTGAAAAATGTTATCATGCTGCCAAAATTTACCGCGACACAATTGAAACATTACACGGTGCGTCTACAAGCAAAAGATTTACTTGGTGCGGGCCGCAAGAAAACTCTCATAGAAACGGTGCGAAAACTCTCATAGATGGTATGGGTATTGGTATGGTGGATAGTATGATGATTTCCCAACCTATGGGGTGGTGTAAAGACAAGAAAAAATATTTACCCAAAACCCGCATCCACCTGACCACTTGTAAAGATTGTAGGTGTGAAGCAACCGCGCAAGAGAATCAACCCGAATCAACTATGACTAATGCATCAGGAACATGGGTTGTAAATTCAACTGCTAGTCTTGCAAGGGCAAAAAGATTCAAGGACAAACAATTACAACCAAAAACTAAATTATTTTATTGTTTTAAAAATATGAAATATGGTGTTTACTGTTGTGACCAATGTTTTTTACTAGTTCGTACATAAATTATAATATTGTACATAGTTCATCTTGTTCATCTTGTACGGGAACGGGTCTTGTTTCTATTCTTTGTATCCCTGGTAATGTTGCATAGGCGCGATGATATTGATATTGCGGTTCGGTGCGATGATATTGATATTGCGGTTCGGTAATGGCTGCTCTTTGAGTGTAACCATCCTTTTGTTGCACCACATACGTCACCTTTTCTTTTCTTTCCATTTCGTTTTGTACAAGTATGTCTGCAGCTAATTGTTCACTCACAATTCTTTGTTCATTAAGCAGTATTCTGTCCGCTTCCTTTTTCATTAATAAACCCTCAATTTTATCTAACCTCATTTGTTTTGGTGGACTAGCCATGGCTACCAATATCGTTTTTGTTGCTATATACTAAAACATCTATATATATATATATAATACACACCATATATGGTTAAAATATTTACACAGCAAAGCTATACACTTTATACGTATCACATAACGCATACACAAAATCTAAAAAAGTGTAAATATCATAAACGTTTGTATGTTTAAAAGTTTCTTTACTCAACCCCAATTCATAATATAGTATAGGAGGTTCACTTTGATTCTCATCGGGTATAAAAACCATTTCATACCCATACCGCTTCAAAAGTTCTTCATACGCCCCGTTTATCATTGAACGTTTCGCTTGAAAAACCTTGTCCACACATGACAACCACCGGTCATACGTACACGTATCACAATCTTCAAAACCACTTAATATATAAAGATGGCAAAAATATCCACGTACAATATTGTAAACCATTTTTTGCTCTTCTTCAGAACCCGTATCTGACCATTTTTTGGGTTTATTTACTGTGACAACTTTCGTTTGTTCCCAATTGAACATTGTGGTCGCGGTAGTTTAAAATCCAATAATGTTCCATTAACATGCATACCCGTTATAAATACACCTTCAAAATCAGTAATTTCAACTGTATTTGCAACCATAAAATATTTCCAAAAGTTCATAACAAAATCCTGACAACAATAATTTGCTAAAAAACAAACAGAATAATCTTGATCACCCAAAACAAACATACACGCTATTTCCCACTCCTCGAACGTTATTTCAAATTGACGCACAATTAAATCGTGACTATAAAATGAAACTGTAAAAAACATGATCCGTATATGGAAATGGAATTTAACTTATTTTTTTATAAATAACGCTCGCAAAACTCTCCAAACTATCAGATTCAAAGTGCAAAATGGCTTTTAAATACCATGACGATGCAGCCGAACAAATATACGACAAAAATTGCAAGACAATATTAGAAAATGGTTCCAAATGTGAACAACAACATTGTTGCCATGTCAAAGATATCTGTGAAGCGGGCAGTGATCCAGATCGTTTCAAGGACCGAATTTGTCCCGACTGTCGTATGACAATATTTTGGTATTTGCGGAATAAAACAGAAGATATGCGATTGGAAAAAGTCGATAAAGTAAAAACGGAAGGTAAAGATTATTTTATTGCAACGGGTTATCATTGTCCAGAGGGTTGGCAATACGAACATGTGAACTCACGATCAATATTTAACGACCCCGAAGAACCCCTGACCGAAGAAATTATTGCTTCTGTCGGTGCACGATGGTTAGAAAAACAGAAAGGGGTAAAAAAAGAAAAAACTCAAACAAAACTTACGGATTTTTTTAATTAGAACGGCTTCTAGAGCGTAATCTTTTAGGACGTTTACCAGCAACACTTTTAATACGATGATAAAAATAAATATTTACGCCTGTATCTTCTTCTAATCTATGTCTTAAATCTTCAATTTGTTTTGCTAACGTAGTTTCCATCAACAATAATGCAGGACTTGTAGAACAATTTATCATTTGCGGCATTGCAATTCCCTCGCTTGGCGCCGATACCAACTCCATTGTACAACGTTGAAGTTGTAGTATCAACAATTTGTACAAACTTAAATCTTTCTCAATATGTTGTGGAATTACACCGCGCACCACTAGTTTTGTAACGAGTGTTTGTAGACCCCACTTTGCATGGTGCGAATCTAAAAACTGTGCAAATAACCAATCTTTTACAACATTCTCAAAAACTCTAGCCATCTTACACGTACAAGCATCAGCATATAACTAAATAAATCTTACCATGATTATTGATCTTTCAACATTTCCTCAACAAATTTACAAATTTTTTCATTTCGCTGTGCACCATTTCTCATATAATCTACATACAACTCGTACAACATGTTCAGCTTTTCAGGTTGTAGATATTTCAATTTCCGACTTTTGTATACCTCATCAATTGATATTAAAATTTCAAAACAATACAAAATACTCAAATCATCTAGTATATCCATAGCATAAAAATATGCAAATTCATTTATTACAGGTTTACTTTTTTCAAACCATTCATCTTTGGGTAAATAAGGAATATTCATATTTGGGGAATATTCCGTTTTGTTATGTATTTTCCTTTGTATAATATACATTAACATAAAATCCCCCAACTCTTCCTGAACCTCGAGATCATAATCCACTCCTTTCCAATTATCAAGGTAATCATACCCTGTGCCCGTAATTTCTTTATCAATTCGATGAAAATTCTCACACATCTTGCAAGAGAGAGTTTTTCAACTAAACTAACTACATCTCCAGTAAAAATATATATATATATTGTACTGGAGGTGTAGTTTGTTTTGTGCGTAAAATACTTCATCATGAACGGGTATATTCTATGTGACGATACAATATTCCCGTGTAGTAAAATTGTAAAACTAACAGAAAATGGCAAAGATTTTACAGTTTCTCTCAGTGCAAAACATCGCGGAGAAGAAGGCATACGCACGCATTACATCCGTCTGCAATGGTGTACGAGTCATTATGGTAGTTGGTTATACAGTACATCGGGTCATTACGAAACACGAATGAAAGCTTTTATCCAAGAATTTTATTTATACATAAATTCATTAAAAAAATCCTGTTGTCGATTTGTTGATGTAAAAAAAGATATCTATAAACATTTTGCGTCGAAAGGATACCTGCTCGACAAATCTATCTTTAAAATAGCAATTCACATCCTATGTCATTACAGAACATATCTGGATCCTAGAATAGAGGGGTACCAATTGGGATATTTATGCTGCTCTTAGTAAGTTGTTGTTTGTCCGAAAACTTTGAAACAGCTTGTAATCATCGTATAAAAATTAAAAAATGGGGTTAAGAAAGAACATGAAAATTGGCTTTTAGCATCCATGTGGGTTTCTCCACGGGGTACTAAAGCTGACTTTTTTGTTTCATTCCGCAACCATATTTGGAATTGAATCGCAGGATTTTTTTGGATTGCTTTATTCGAGATTCTGAAGATATATTTGATATTTGACACATATTTCTTCACAATCTCTTGATGATACATTCCACAACCATATTTTGGAATTGAATATTGCAGATATTCCCGTAATTGAATTCGTCGCCGATGCAAAACCCGTTGGAATTGATCCAATTTTCGCATGGTTCGATGGACAGCTGGTACAAATTATTTCCGTCTATGGCAATGAAGAATCCAGAATGTTCTATGGTTTTTGCGATATCTGTGGTGCCCAACCATATGGCATTATAAAATGTGATGAAAAACTACATCGCGTAAGAGAAATACAAGACAAAATCGCTGTCCTGCGCAAGAAAACTACAATACTGGAAAAAGATTGTCAAAACCCAACCATAACCCGAGAGGGTCTCAACGACCAAATCGAAACATTAAAAGGGATTTTAAAACTTACTATAGACACCACAAAATTGTAAATTTGTAATACAATACATTTTTTACCCACTTCCGTTTTTTTAAACAGCGCATAGCACCCACAAGTAGCGCTTACAATTCGACACAGCAAAATATCAAATATTAGTATATATCTACCAATTTTTTAATCGCCCTGCTTTTTAGCGGGCGGTAAAACAAAACAAAAGCGGGCGGTAAAACAAAATTAAAAGAAAAGGAGAAAATAATTTTAGTTTACTATTTTTTGAAGACAAGGAAGAAAATATATGTCTGACGCTTAACATAAACCCTAATCGAAATTTTAGAGTCCTCATTCTCACCTCCTACGAAGGTTTGAAACCTGACCCTAACCCCCTATTAGCTGTTCTGCTAAGAAGTCAGACAATATACCCTACACACGTTTGGCTTTTAACTACCTTTCACTATAGCCACGCAATTATCACGGTGCAAAAAATTTTATTCACAATTAATTTTTAATTTTTTAAAATTATTAATCTCACTCTCACAATTTTTTCGAATATATTTTTTAAATATATTTTCAACACTTCTAAAATAAACTAAATCTACTAATTCGTAAACTTGTCTATAACGTATGTCCATAATGCGTGTTTTTGACCCTGCATTCATATTGTGAAAATGATATTTCATCTTTAACAACTCGGGAATTGTTTTTTGACAAAAAATTCCTTCTGGCTGTATGACACCAAACACGCTGATACACTTCAAAAATGTCTTGACCATCGAACCCCATCCCGTGGCTATATCATTCGTGAAATTATCAGCCCAAATCTTCAACACAATTGCCGAGGGTACACCAGAATGTTCGGTGGGGAGACACTCATAAACATGTTTCCATAGATACCGCGCAACTATATGTTCGAATAAATGTTGTTGTTGCTCTGCAGTACCCAGCCAATGTTCGGGTTTTTCCAATTTAAAATTTTTTACTTCTTCTAAAGCAAATACTTCTATCGATGTACGCATGAATTTATCGTCCATTTCAACCCAAAATTTTTTTTCGCTTACCTCAGCCATCTCAACGAATTATTCTATTAAGCTCTTTACAAGTTTTCTTTAAATAAGATATTTCAACAAAAAAATTCCATTCCCATATTTGGTTATTACCCCTGCAACATGTAAAATATTGTAAATGCCCTCAATATTACACATGCTGTAATTCAATATTTACCACTTCCGCAATTCTCGTCTATATAAGTCGTGAGTAAGCTAGTCGTAAGTACGCCTGAAAGCAAATTTTGAGTTTCCAAATCAACGAAGGGACAAATCTTCTTGCTGCAAAAATTTCTCATTGAATTTTTTAATCGCCCTGCTTTTTAGCGGGCGGATAAATAACAAATAAAAAACCAACAAATTTCAAGTTTCAAAGATTTATTGAAGTCCTAGGTCCATAAAATTAAATGCTACAAGGTAAATCGTCAATTAATCCAAGATCACTTTGTTCCTTTTGTAGTTTTTTTCCCCCTTTTTTGTGAAACATCTAACCCGATATCTTTTGCCCATTTTTCCGGAAAAAAAACACCACTACCCTTTTGTTTTGCCGCTGGATGTGCCAGTGTACTGTTAAATGGTGATTTTGTTTTTGGTCTTCTTTTCCAGGCTTTTCCAAAATCTGACAACCAATCTCCACCCTCCTGTACTCCAAATACTTGTTTATTTGAACCCTTCCAAGGTTTTTTCTTTTGGTAATTTTATTCCAGGCTTTTCCAAAATCTGACCAACCCGCTCCTTTTTGCTTACAGCAATGTCCTTTTTTTGTTAGCTTTACCCGCGCACCTTTTTTTAACCTCACAACACTACCGCCGACTTGTTGAATTGCCGCACCTTTCCCGACTCGTTTAATCCACGGTACCGTACACGACGTTGCGTGTGCAACATTACCCGCAACACGACCCATCGTTATGAATGTGTTTTCACGGTTTTACATTTTTTATAGCATCGTTTACAAACACAATTTTTTTCCATGCCTCCGTAATTATATTAGAAACCCCGCACTTACTGGACACGCAAATAAAATTTATAAAATCATCCAGTAAGGGGTCTTCACCATCAGTACCATGCCATTTTGCAGAATATAAAAAAAAAGATATATCAAGTTTATTTTTGTCCATTGGTTCAACCATTTCACACCAATTTTTCCACGCATTTATTTCACCGCAGGATCTTTGATTAAACAATTCAAAAGCTTCTGATTTGCGTATATTTTCTAAATTTTGCACCCTCTCTTTTTCCCAATTATCTAAATATTCCCAATCAATTTCATCCATTTTATGAACACTCACAAACTTTAAGTTGTTCGCATAAACACTTGTAGCAGTTATTTTCACGCTTACAACGTTTTTTGCAGAATCTTGTTTTTGTAGCCGCTCTATATCCTTGTCTAAATCTGTAATTATCTGGCACAACTTACATTTACAACCGCATTGACATTTACGACCAAAATTTTCCTCGTCACAATTACATTGACATTTTTCATTTATTGACGACATTTACTTTAAGAAATGAGACAACTGTTCGAAGGCGATGCATACAACGAAGACTGTTCGTGGTTTGATGATGAAGATGAAGAATTTACATTTACAAACTACAACAAATGCTTCCAAAAAGCATGGCTTGACGGATTGACCGAACTTAAAGAGGAGGAGGAGGGATATAACACTAGAAAATTATTACCATGTATTTTGCAAAGAAGAGGCAATTTTTTTGTCTCATCTATGCAAAATTCCTAGTAATTGTTTTTATTAACAAGGAAATACAAAACAATACAATTGTGTGTAATACACTTTTGTAAAACAAATAAATGAAAAAAAAAAATTTTTAACCGTTTTCGTTAATGATTAACCATTTTTTCACCACACAAACCCGCACGCCACCCGCGCGCCCCAAAAAACAGGCACCAGAAGTACGTCACCGGAAGTACGTCACTATCACGTCACGTGACACCGGTCATAAAATCACCGCCAAATTCAAAACTCCTCACTTCGGTCGAGCACGGCTTTGGGGATACATCATCTTGTGTTGTCCGCCATTATTGCGACACACACAATCGTCCTTTTTGGGACGTCATGGGGAGTCGAAAACTCCCCCCGTCCGGGGAGACACTTTTTCAACTCCTTTTGCTGACATTGCACTTTTTCGTAATACTATTTTATAATAAAAAAAAAAATTCCCACACCCCCACTTTTTTATCGAGTACTTTTATCCATACACTACTGACATTATAATTGATATTAAAATTAAAAATTATAACATACCATCCATTTCATTTGCATATTATGTCGGATACACGTTAGCACGTCGTGAGCTGTGAGCAGATCTTTAAAACATAACAATGAGTCATAAAAAGCACTAAACCGTGAATAAACTTTCACATTTTCGTCTTGTTTGCATATAAACAATTACACATTTACACGTTTTCGATATTGAGCCCGCGGTATCATCGTAAAGGTTTATATAGTACTTCATTTCTTGCTGATTAATAAAATGTATGATCCAAACACGCTAAGAACAATGCTAAAAACGAAACTCGGTCGTCGGTCAATCTTCAAATTCTGCTATACGGTTTTTTCGTTGTTTACCTACAGTAAAGCAAGGTAACCTTGCCCAACAAATAGCACATGCTTCGAACAAGTTGCCCGACAAAATTGCATTTGTAAACATTGGGGGGTGTCACACCCCCCCACACCCCCCCAGGAGTTATGCCCCTGCATGCAAGGATCTGTTATATAACCATGTGACATATGGTGATACAGCACATGCCCAGTTTAATTCCACACAAAACTTTTTGTATTGTATTGTCGTCGTTTATATTGAACACGAAGTTGTGCTATTATAAAATTCTTGAGTAATCCTTTAAGAATGGACAGTACAAATCTTATGGCAAAAATATAAAATATATTTTAAACATCATGGAGTACAGAAAGTCAAAAAAGCTGAGAGATGTTGAGGTGCAGCTTGCAATATATAATGTATAATGTTCAAATCAAAAACGTGGCATGTATATAGTGCATATGGAAGTGAGCTCAAAATGTTGCTCAGAATAAATCAAGCCAAACTTAAAGCCAAGTTGACAACAAAAATTGTTCATTGAAATAGTTGCTAAGAAATTTAATATATTTCTCCTCAATGGTGATGTACCGATGTACAGGATGACAGGATTTAACCGATTTATGCCATCAATATTACAAAATGTAAATGGAAAAATGTTTGCGAAAATCATTTTTATAAATAATTGATATAAATGATTTTAAAGTATGATCTAAAAGGAGAAAACCATATTTTCTACAATAGTTCTGGACCTGTCATTTTAGAACAATCTTGATCACACCCAGTAAAACTTTTACGAGCAAAAATACAATTTTTCCACGGTTTGTTTTTCATTGTTTATAAAATGTCCCTTCCCAATGACAAGTAGCTACGTATTTTTGATCTGGCAATGTAAAAAGCGAGGCAAAAAGACATGCTTTATCAAAAAAGCCATTAACACATTCCAGAGCAAAGTGAAATATTTATTCTATTTAGGAAAATTCATGCCAAATTTGATCAAATTTCTAAATACTGTCAACAAATGCACAAAATTCGTTTCGTAAATGCAAAAAAGGCAAGTTTAGACAATAATTTTCCACAAAAAATGAAGTGTTGCTAGATTCAATATAAATTGTCGTTTTAGCACCATCCTGACCTTTATATACAAAATAAATAGTTTACAGTCACGCAAAGCGTTGACATAATTTTTAAAATTTTGGCTCTGCAATTGCAGTGCCAACTCTAAAGCAATTGCATAAAATCTATGACTTATTGGCACTGCAAATGCAGCGCCAACTAAAGACATTGACATATGTCTGATCTAGAACTTATTATATTGGCCCTGCAATTGCAGCGCCAACTCTAAAGTATTTGCATAAAATCTATTACTTATTGGCACTGCAAATGCAGTGCCAACTAATGGCATTGACATATAATCTATACAACTTATTGTCACTGCAATTGCAGCACCAACTAAATGCCTTGCTGTATGATCTACAACTTATTGCAGTTATCAAGTATTTGAACTTTCTGTCCTGAGGCTGAGGCCTAGTGGGATTCAAACAAATTCTGAAATTTATAGTTTAAAGTTTTCCTAAATGTTCAAATCAGTTGAAATTGCACAATAGTGAATTAGTTATTTAGTAGAAAACAGTTGATAATTCCCAATTCCTCTCCCTTGACATAAAATGACACATTTGGCCTTTGGGTCCTGTAATTCAAAAGCGGCAATACACATTCTTTACATAATTCATCTGTCCATATTGTGCCACCATATGGACCATGGTACTTTTTATTCCATCTTCGAATCAACATCGGTGACTCCAGGTCTGACATAAGGTCCCGTATACACCTATAAATGCGGTTAAATGTATGATCAGACACTTCCTGAAATATAATATTACAGTATATTATACCTCAAATTCAAATTGTCCAATCAGGAAGCTTAGTTTGTGCCACGTGAGCATGAAATTAATCGCGATATCACGCCTTACGTCATCAATTAGCGAGCCTGCATTCCTTTTGACAATGTTCCACCCCATGTTCCCTGGGGAACATGGGGTGGAACATTATTCGCGTACACCACGCGGGACAACACGCATGACAACAAGATGGCCGACAAAACATAAATAGTATTAATGAGTGATGAATAATTCAATTTTAAACCTAAAACACAGGACTTTTTCAAACCTAAAACCTGGGGCTTTGTCATTAATATACCAAACGACATGTAATTCGAAAGAAAAGCGACGACACTTGCGTTAATCCGAAAATAAAACATCATATTCACGAAGGTATGTGTCAAGTTTTTAATTTTCAACTTGGAGGCTTTTAATTTTCGGCATAATATATCATTTATAGACCTTCCGCTCGGGGGATTCGGCGAAATATTACCCTCAGTAAATATCATCACTGAAATATCATCACTTCGGGTAATATTTCGCCGAATCCCCCTCGCTCCAGGTCTATAAATGATAATTGTTACATGTATA